CCTTCACCGCTGTGTCCTGCACCAGGCAGCTTCTGGTGGGTCGCACAGCAGCTGAGCAGAGCTTGCCTGCCCTGCTGCCTTCGCCTCCGCTGTGTTCCTGAGCTGCGCTGCCATTCCAGCCTCCTCCCAGCAGTTCCCCACCAGTGTTTCTTGCTGCTGCCACTCCAGGATCCAGGCTGGAGGCAACGGGGCTGGGCACCACTCCCCCACAGAAGAAGGGGGGGGAGGAGGAGGTTGGATCTATACCCCCGCCCTTCACACGGAGTCTCAGAGCGGCTTACAACAGACACCCTGTGAGGTAGGTGGGGCTGAGCAGGGCTTTTTTTGTAGAAAAAGCCCAGCAGGAACTCATTAGCATAACAGGCCACACCCAACAGCAGAAACCCATTAGCATATTAGGCCACACCCCTGACAGCACAGCTCATTAGCCTATTAGGCCACACATCCCCATGTTACCAGAAGTGTGCTCATCCAGCCACACCCACCTTTTGCTTCTTATTCTGTTTACCTTGTTTGTTGTCAAAACCCAGGGCCTTTTTTGTAGCAGGAACTCCTTTGCATGTTAGGCCACACACCCCTAATGTAGCCAATCCTAATGAGTTCCTGCTGTTGGGTGTGGCCTATTATGCTAATAAGTTCCTGCTGGGTGTGGCCAACTTGGGAGCCAGCCAGAACTCTGTTCCTGTGCGTTCCTGCCCAAAAATAGCTGAGAGAGCTCTTTCCAGAACTGTCCTTGAGAGAACAGCTCTGACAGAACTATGACTAGCCCAAGGTCACCCAGCAGCTGTGGAGGAGTGGGGAATCAAACCCGGTTCTCCCAGATTAGAGTCTGTGCACTTCACCACGACACCAAACACTCACAAGGTGAGTGTGGGAACAGAGCTGCCAGTCCTGGACAATTATGGAGAACCTGACGTCCTCTCAGTGCAGTCTTCCAGAGAGACCACAACGTTTGTTAACCCGGAGACAGGTTTAGTAGCTCCTTGAGAAGGCACCCCATGCAAACGTTGGTCCTCAAGACTAAGATGTAGCACCTCACGTTGGACCGGTTCCAAGAGAAGCCTGATCCCGCTGAATAGTCTTCGACTGCAGTAAGGCACGAGAGATGCTTGCAATCTTGCCTCTCTCCAGTGAGGCCGTGCTCCCAAGGTGGTTCAAAGGAAAGGCAAGGAACAGTTCTGCCTCTTTCCTGAAATGCCTGGCTCAGTCTAAGTAAAAGTCTATAGCTCTGAACCCATCCAATATGTGGAACACTTTCTCTTCCTCATCCTTAAGCTCTGAGGAGAGGGTGGAGAGAACTTAAGGTCTAGTTAAGACAGCGGCCAGAGATGACCTTAGGGTGGAAGTCAGTTCAGCCTTAGATATAGGTAGTCTCTTTAAGAACAGGCTAATCTTGGGATTTATTTGCTCTCCTAGCTAAAGGAAGGGCACCAAAAGAAAAGAGGATTTTGAACAAGGCAAGTCTCAAATGGCTTTCCAACGAATTCTGCAAAGACTACAGACAAGTTCCAAGAAGGAAACAGAGGGACACGTAGAGGGGCAGGCACGATTTGGACCCTTCGGAGCTTCTTGGAGGAAGGACATGATTAAAAAATGCAACAAATATAAACATATAAAGCCAGTGGGTACTCCTGGTTCCATACAGATGTATGAAGCGCCTTTAATCTTTTCAGTTATAGACTCTTAGGCTGCGATCGCACAAACTAAATAATCCACTTTCCAACTGGATATTACTGTGTGAACGGCCAAAATCCAATTTGAAAGTGCACTGAAAGTGGATTGAAGGTGGATTATTTAGCAGTCTTAGTTATTCTGGCTCCCAAACAATAGCACTGTACCATTCTGCAACATACTGGTCCTCACGTAGCTGAAATTAATTGCGCCTAAGTCCCATTAGAAGGAATGGGACAGATTAGCTGCCGTGAAGTCTCCGCGGCTTTCAATGGGAATCGATTTATTGTGCTCGCTTCAGCAGCACATATACTAAAATTGGAACGATACAGAGATTAGCAGGGCCCCTGCGCAAGGACTCGATTTATTTATTTAGGACATGTCTGTGCTGCCTCTTCAGAGTCCCACTCGAGGTGGCTCATGATTAAAAACCACAGTAACACAAGACATTAAAAAAGCACAAGCCATGAGAAATATGCAGCATCAAAGATACTGTATAATTCATGTAGTAACAGCAGCTGAAATCTTATTCGCAACTTTTTGGAAACTTCCAACAATACCCTCTGAACAAGACCTAATAATGAAGACTATGGAAAATGCGGAAATGGACAAATGGACTTTGATGTTAAAAGGGCAAACGGAAGCGCCAGCGCCAGAAAGACATCGCCGGACTAAGAAAGACCTCCCGAGAAAAGATCATAACAGCAATGACCGCCAAAATCCAATTTGAAAGTGCACTGAAAGTGGATTGAAGGTGGATTATTTAGCAGTCTTAGTTATTCTGGCTCCCAAACAATAGCACTGTACCCTTCTGCAACATACTGGTCCTCACGTAGCTGAAATTAATTGCGCCTAAGTCCCATTAAAGGAATGGGACAGATTAGCTGCCGTGAAGTCTCCGCGGCTTTCAATGAGAATCGATTTATTGTGCTCGCTTCAGCAGCACATATACTAAAATTGGAACGATAACAGAGATTAGCAGGGCCCCGGCGCAAGGACTCGATTTATTTATTTAGGACATGTCTGTGCTGCCTCTTCAGAGTCCCACTCGAGGTGGCTCATGATTAAAAACCACAGTAACACAAGACATTAAAAAAGCACAAGCCATGAGATACTGTATAATTCACACAAAGATACTGTATAATTCATGTAGTAACAGCAGCTGAAATCTTATTCGCAACTTTTTGGAAACTTCCAACAATACCCACTGAACAAGACCTAATAATGAAGACTATGGAAAATGCGGAAATGGACAAATTGACTTTGATGTTAAAAGGGCAAACGGAAGCGCCAGCGCCAGAAAGACATCGCCGGACTAAGAAAGACCTCCCGAGAAAAGATCATAACAGCAATGACCCCACGAGAAAAACGGTGCCTGTTAGGTTTGTCACCCCCCATTGTATGTATGTATGTGTGGCCTTAGGTAAGGAATGATTTCAAAGTCTAATGTAAACCGCTCAGAGCCCTTAGGGGGTGAGCGATATATAAATCGAAGGAAATAAATAAATAAATAAATAAATAAGGTTTTGTTGGACTATGGACTCCTTTTTACGATTGGATAAGAAAGAGACATAAAGATATGAACTTTTTGACAATGTAATATGAAGAAGCCTTTATGAACTTTTAAAATTTCAGTCTATCTTTTTGTAGTGTGAAATGATATGTGGAGAACATTTATAGGCAGGAGACATATTACTTTCGTTTCCCTTTCTTCCCCTACCCCTGTATACCCTCAAAATTTAATAAAGTGTTGTTGTTGTTGTTCAGTCGCACAGTCGAGTCCGACTCTTCGCGAACCCATGGACCAGATCACGCCAGGCCTTCCGGTCTTCCGCTGTCTTCTGAAGTGTACTAGACAAGAAATATGCTACATCAAATCTATCCATAAAACAGAGCAGACCATTAAAAACCCGGTAAGATAACCTCCCCTACTTAAAAACATGGGTGAACAGCAGTGCTCCCTCTAAGCTGTGGAGTCTTGTGAGCAACAATTCTACTTTGTGAGCTGCTGGCATTAGAGTTATGAGTGAGCATTTTGGCTCCTGCACAAATTAGTTTGCTCTGGAGCCCTCCTTCATGAGCGGAGACAAAAATGTGTGAGCCGGAGACTAAAAAACTGTGAGCTAGCTCACACTAACTCAGCTTAGAGGGAACACTGGTGAACAGAATTGTTTTGGTCTGGCACCTAAAAGAAAGCAGTGTAGGCACCCCGTGAGCCTCGAGAAGAAGGGCATTCCACAAGCGAGGGGCCAATACAGAAAAAACCCCGTCTCTGGCTGCCACCCCCATCTCCTCTGATGGTGGAGACACAGAGGGCAGGGCTTGGTAAGGCAGATGTTAACTGGCTGGGCTAAATCCACTGTATTTACATTTAAAAGGTAAAGGTTCCCTTGCTCGAAAGCCAGTCGAATCCGACTCTAGGGTTGCGGGGCTCATCTCCGTTTCAAAGCCGAAGAGCCAGCGCTGTCCGAAGATGTTTCCGTGATCATGTGGCCGGCATGACTAAACACCAAGGTGCACGGAACGCTGTTACCTTCCCACCGAAGCGGTACCTATTTATCTACTTGCAATTTCTTGCTTTCGAACTGCTAGGTTGGCAGGAGCTGGAACTAGAGACGGGAGCTCACTCCGTCATGCGGCACACTCGGGTCTCGAACTGCTGAACTACTGACCTTCCACAGCCTGCAGTTCAGCGTCTTAACCACTTGAGCCACCGCAGCTCCACTTTATTTATTTACATTTACTGAAATAGAAATAATTTTACCTTTTGCTTTATAAAGAAATATGTTTTTCTTCAGTAAAAAGAGCTGAAAATGGGGAGGGGGGGAGTAAAGCTGGAAAAAGAAAAGTCAGTGGGAAAGATGGGAAAAGAGGGAGATTGGATTTATACCCCGCCCTTCACTCGGAGTCTCAGAGCGGCTTACAAACTCCTTTCCCTTCCCCTCCCCACAACAGACACCCTGAGAGGTAGGTGGGGCTGAGAGAGCTCTCCCGAGAACTGCCCTTGAGAGCACAGCTCTGACAGAACTACGGCTTGCCCAAGGTCATCCAGCCAGGTGCAAGTGGAGGAGTGGGGAATCAAACCCAGTTCTCCCAGATTCGAGTCCGCGCACTTAACCACGACGCCAAACTGGCTGTCTGGCTGGGCTTGGTTAGAGGGCTAAATTACTAAACCCTTCCTATGATTTTGGGGACAGTGATCAAAAACCACGCAAGTTCTCAAAATTTAAGATTTCTTTTTTAAAAAAATCATTGTCTCCTGCCAACCCACCCCGCCGCTGGTAGCAAGAATGCCAAGAAAGGGCACCCATTAGAATGGCAGGGCATACCTTCAGCCACTGGTCGGCCTGTTCCTTGCTTTGTACCGCCAGAACCAGAGCATCCTGCCCTTGATGAGTGATTTTCAGCTCATGCTTCTTCTTTTTGCTGTCCTTGGGGATATAGGTAATACTGCAGCCATTCAACAACAGTTCCATCTGAGGCTGCTGATCCTTGGAACTTTTATAGCACTACAGGGGGAAAGGCAGAGAATACCCTGAGAACCTTGAAGAAAAATCAGTCATTCCGGTTTTAAACAAACAAAACCCACTCGTATCCCCGATCATGGGCCTTCTAGAGATCAAAAATTCACTGGTGTGTCAGTGCTGATAAAACTGTGAGACGATATGACGGTGTTTCAAAATAACAACAATGAAAAATGGAGACTGCAGACTTCACAATGAATTAATAACACAGGACACCAATTTATCCACACAGAAACCAAAGCTGGTGGGAAGCTTATCTTTCAATGACTTCAGGGAAGAGTTTTAGGTTTTTGGCACATGACATCTGTTTCCCACATAATATCTTGCAGAGCAAATGAGCGGCGGCCATCATTTATTCAAAGAGGTGGGGTGAGGGACTGCTTGGGGAAAGCCCACACTGCAGACTCGTGTAACTTGCTGTAGCTATTTCCCGTGGCGCTTCAGACAGAACGAAAATGACAAAGTCCCAGGGCCGTTTTGAACATCCAGCTTCCAGCGGCCCACCTTAATGTTACTTTCTGGTGAGTTCTAACCCCATTACGCTGTAAATTATAAAGCTGAGGCAAATCTGGGGGGGGGGGTACGATTTGGTAAGAACATTGCGTTTCACAGCTGCTTCCTCTTTCAGCAATCATGGGGGGGGCCGCTGGAAAGAGGAAAAGGATGAACGTATCCGAACACACTTCCATTCTGAGCTGCCATGTTTTTTAGCATCCACGCTGCCCCCAAAGAAAAACTACCTCTTCCCATGCGCAGTACCTTCAGAGCAATAGCAAAAAACCACCCTAAAAGCTGCAATCGCACGTGCCTTTAGATCCGACATAGGTGCGAATGCCTGACGGATCTAAAGGGAGTGATCAGACATCAAGAAGAAGAAGAGATTGGATTTATACCCCGCCCTTCACTACCCAAGGGAGTCTCAGAGCGGCTTAAAAACTCCTTTCCCTTCTGACAGAAACTGCTCTTTTTCAAGGACAGCTCTTATCAGAACTACGGCTTGCCCAAGGTCGTCCAGCAGGTGCGAGTGGAGGAGTGGGGAATCAAACCCGGGTCTCCCAGATTAGAGTCCGCGCACTTAGCCACTACAACAAACTGGCATGTTTGGTGAAGAAGAAGAGATTGGATTTATACCCCGCCCTTCACTCGGAGTCTCAGAGCAGCTTACAAACTCCTTTCCCTTCCCTTCCCCACAACAGAGATAGTGCAAGTGGAGGAGTGGGGAATCAAACCCAGTTCTCCCGGATTAGAGTCCGCGCACTTAACCACTACACCAAACTGGCTCTCAACATCTGGGAAGCGTCCCGCAGTTGTCGGCAACCTGTACTGCTCCACCGCAGAAGTGGAGTTAAAAGACACTAGGGAAATTCCAGCTCTAACGGGTTCCAACGGACCATGGATGGACTTTCCCCTGTCTGATCGCTCAAGCATGCTCTCAAGCCGTCGGGATGGTCTGATCAGGCCATCCCAGCTTGGTGCTGTTCCCCCCCCCTTTTGCAGTATGCGCATCATCGCATATTCCATAGGGGGCCCTCAGTGCGGAGGTGCGATTCCTCATTTATGTGCATGGGAAACTAACTGGGGGGGAAACCCCGAATCGCTCGCAGTTGCACCTGATCACACAGTGATGGGCTGCACCCACAGCTACAAAGGGAGGTGTGGTCTCGCTAGAGATGTAAAATTTCCGGAAATTTTGAAGCTCGGAAAAAAACCCTTTTTTTCCCTGTTTTTTTCCGGGGGGAAACGGAAATTTTTCGGGAAAATTGGGAAAAAAATGCTACATTAGCATTTCTTTTGTCTTTTCCAGATTGAAAGTCATTCTGTTACTTTAGGAACATAAAATATGACTATGGACGTTTTTACTTGGCATTAAATTATCACAACTAGCATATTAAAAATAGAGTATATCCAAACAATTATTACAAACAGAATACCCACCCACATGCAAAAACAAAACTGACACTTTTTTATTTTCTTCTGACAATCGCACCTCCTAAAGAAAGAAATGCATCTTGTTCTTGCACTGGAGAGTTCAGTTGGTAACCTAGGACTTGCTTGTCCTCAGTGCACAGAAATTAGATCAAACTGTTACCATACGTATATATTTTAGAAATGATTTGGAAAATATGGGAACACCTTGTCTTAAAATATTTTATTCATCATGTTAAAATAAAACGTTCCATAATCAATTTTTTTCTTTCTTTTCTTTTTTCAATTTTTTGGAAAAAAACAAAAAGGCTTCAGGAAAAACCCGGGAAAAACCCGGGTTTTTCCCCGAATTTTCCTGGGTTTTTTTGGAGCCTTCACATCTCTAGATCTCGCAACTGCGTGTCAAATTCCCTCCGGAGGGAATAGCCTCGCTTCCCCTCCGCTTCAACTGGCGCATGTGACCGCAGTCTAAACTGAGCTTTTCTTTGGGGGAATGGGTTGCTGAACTGACATCCTCAGTCATTTCAAATATTCTTTCTGTTGACTGGACCAATGAACCACTGGCTTCATATGCCCTCCAGTGACATCCGCTCACAGCCAAATGTTAGTGCCTCTGTGAAGGAGGGGGTGCACTTGTCACCAGAAGAGCAGCAAGAGCAACCATTTCCAACGGTCCAACAGATGCTGATTGAAGCCTACGACCCAGCACAAAAGGAACCAGGAATTGCAGAAAGGTTGAAAGAGCACTTCAGCACATTACAAAGATTCCTGTGCTTGAACCCTCAGCGCATACCGTTCACGACCAGAAGCAAACTGACCCAGCCAAACCGCAGCAATTCAGCAAGACAGGCCAGTGACTCAACCTCGACAAGTGGTTTTCCGAATGCAGATCTGGGCCCGATTAGGTTACAAACAACATTATCACAAAAAAGGAGCAAAAAACAGCAGTTACCAGGAGTTTGTTGTCTTTGATCACACACAGCAGTTTAGTCCACTGTCCAAATCGTTTCTTTCTTAGAAGGAAGGCACAGATTTTAGCATCCTTTACGAGGTCCATAGATGCTTCCTCGGAAGGCCACTGGTGTCGCATCTTCTTCCCTTTCCCATCCTCATCCTCTTCATCGTAAGATTCGTAAGAGCTGCTCATAGCATCGGAATCATAATCTTGAGGCAAGACAAGGCAAAAGGTCGCATTAAGATACTAGGACTTCGAGCACCCCACCCCCCCAAAAAAATTATTTGGAACAAAATGATCACACATCGAAGTTGCCTTTTAGTGCAGCAGACCACTAATCCACCAAGGTCAGTATTGACAGTGGCTCTCTAAGGTCTCTGCCACAGGTCTTTCACATCACCTCACTGCCTGGTTCCTGTATGCCAAGAAGATGCTCTACCCCTGAGCAATGCTCCCTCCCCAATATATGTTCTAAGTGATCCTATGTCCACTGGAAACAAAGGAATTATTTCCTAATTAATACCAGCAGACTGACTGATCAATTGCATTAACTCATAGGGTTGTCAGGGTCTCTTATAGTGGATAGAACTCAATGCCACCACCTCACTGCCTGGTTCCTGTACGCCAAGAAGATGCTCTACCCCTGAGCTACAGTTCCTCCCCAATATATGTTCTAAGTGATCCTATGTCCACTGGAAACAAAGGAATTATTTCCTAATTAATACCAGCAGACTTACTGATCAATTGCATTAACTCATAGGGTTGTCAGGGTCTCTTATAGTGGATAGAATTCAATGTCATTCTTATATAACTCTCTTACGGTGTCCAGTCTAGCTCATAAATGTTGTGCTTAGACAATACAGGTGAGAGGTGTTAGGTCGAATGCATGTATGTAGACACAAAGGTTATTTAGTATTTTAGCTGAATTTAACCCCGTTCTTCTGGTTCATAGGTTGGTCATGTTGTTTCTGCTGTTACTATTGTTTGTTTTTGTATCTATCTGTTAATGTTTATTAATAATTTTTTTTTAAAAAAAAAAACCTCTGTTGGTTCATTATAAAAGTGTATCATACAGTTTTACAAGTACTGCAGCACATTTTTATACTACAAATAATCTAATGCAATCCTGCGGTCAGAAATAACAACTGAAGCTATCAGCAAAAACCACAAAGCCACTGTGGCCTAAACATAAACCCCAGTTACTTCGAAAAAGTGTCCGTTCAAATGCTTAGGTGGCCGGCCGGCCTCACTCCTGATTGTATCTGCCCACAAGCTGTGCAGGAAACTGCTTTGCTTGGAACTATGGAACATACCATAACCACTCTATACATCAACAGGTGTTATATGTCTAGGATAAGGCAAATTTTTCCAAAATTTGATCACCCAACCTTACAACCCAAACTTGGGCATATTTTTTGAGGATTAAATCCTTTAGTTCATCCCATGAGACTTAATTCCAAAGCACATGTGCACAGGGTCACATCCTTAGTCTTACTAATTTCAACCACACTGTACATGTGTTTAGAATGGATCAGCCAATGTTATTGAAGCAACAGAACGGCCCTTTCCCTTTTCAATGGGCAGAAATGTATCACCATTCCCACCAAGAGCGATCTTCATTTTTCATTTTGTAAGCATTCCATGTTCCGGTATGACCAGTGTTCCCTCTAAGCTGAGTTACTGTGAGCTAGCTCATCGTTTTTTAGCCTCCGGCTCACACATTTTTGTCTTAGCTCAGAAAGGATGGCTCCAGAGCAAACTAATGTATGCAGTAGCCAAATCTCTCACTCACAACTTTAATGCCTGTAGCTCGCAAAGTAGAATTTTTGCTCACAGGACTCCACAGCTTAGAGGGAACATTGGCTTATGACCAACCACAAATGCATGACAGAGTCAAGTTGATAAGACCAAGACAGGCCCGAAGAAATAACTGAACCAAAGATTTAAACTTTTGGTTTCCCAGCTGTACTGGAAGAGCCATCAAAGTCAGCTTTATTTGCACTCCGATAACATATGTTTTACTTACTGGATGTGATGTACTCAGGCGCCTTTCCCGGACTGAGGGGCACGGCCTCCTCATAGTAACCCTCCGGAAGGGACGAGGAAGGTAATGGTGGAGGCCCGCTATCTGGTGGCTAAGTACAAGGGGGTGGGGAGCAATGAAACATGACAGCCAAAAAGAAAATGCATAATGAGAAATACTGTTTATTCTGCATTCAGGTCTTGTTTTAGGGAACCCTAGAGGGAAGTTTGAGGAGCTGCGGTGGCTCAAGTGGTTAAGACGCTGAACTGCAGGCTGTGGAAGGTCGGTAGTTCAGCAGTTCGAGACCCGAGTGTGCCGCATGACGGAGTGAGCTCCCGTCTCTCGTTCCAGCTCCTGCCAACCTAGCAGTTCGAAAGCAAGACATTGCAAGTAGATAAAGAGGTACCACTTCGGTGGGAAGGTCACAGCATTCCGTGCGCCTTGGTGTCTAGTCATGCCGGCCACATGACCACGGAAACGTCTTCGGGCAGCGCTGGCTCTTTGGCTTTGAAATGGAGATGAGCACCGCAACCCTAGAGTCGGACTTGACTGGCTTTTGAGCAAGGGAAACCTTTATCTTGACCTTAAAGGGAAGTTAACTCTTCAGTGCCTGCTTGTGTTACTGTAACGGACAACAACGCATCCTCCAGCTTAAATTACACACTAGTCCAGTTGCACCCAGATGAACTAAATTTATTCCAGCATAAGCATTAATAAAGTCAGCGTTCACTTCATTGAATGCCCTGGAGCATCAACCCAATGCAGCTAAATTTACACCTAGAGTTCAAGCCACAGAAAAGGAGGAATGGAGTTGGGAAAAGGTTTCAAGGAAAGAACCAGTGAAAGGACGTTGCCACACTGGTGGCTTGGCAAGATGTAGTGCCGCCTCTAATTGAACTGGTTGAAAGGGTTGAGGGGCATATCAGCCACACAGCAGACCCTGCTGCAGGTTACCCATGGAGACATCCTGTGGTAAAGCATCCACATTATTGCAGCGCCTCAGCCACGGAGCGGGCGCCCCCCCAAAAATCTCAAAATTCATGTGCACGCATAACTGCGCATGCGTGCACATGAGCATATAGGCAATTTTTGAAAAGAAAAAACCCTCCCTAGTGGCAGAACGGATCTGCAGGTTCAGACTGCCAAATCCGTTCTGCGTGTGCCTCCCCCCCAGGTTCAGACATCCGGCCACACGCAATGACTCTGCGGGGAACCGAAAACACCACTTGTGATGTGGTGCCTTTTTAACTCGGCTCCAAGTCGTTCCTGTGACGGGATAAGTATTGCTGGTGAACGCCTGACAGATGTGGCTATCTGACTGCGCCCATTTGACCCGGAGGGGAGGAGCGGCTGTGTCGGGCCAAACTGCCCGTGTGATCATGGCCAAAGCGTCATCAGTCCATTCAGAAAGGGTGACTGGTTACTGAATAGGGTAAAACAAATTCTCCCATACAACAATGGACCACCCACCAGGCACAAGATCAAGAACCAGAACCAACAACAAACCTAAACCCCAACTTTGTCTCTGGCTCATTCACTTGCTCATCCTCAAATACAACATATGCCCTCATGTGTCAACAAGGTCTGTCTACCTCTATACTGGACAAACAAGTCCAGTTTGAATTAATGGACGCAACCAGACATTTAAAAAACAAAACAAAACACAATATTCAGAAACCAGTGGGTAACCTTCCAGGCATTCTGTTGCTGATCTAAAAGTGACTATTCTTAGAACTTCAAAGGAAGATCCCAGTGTTAAACTGCTGCACTAGAATTCATTAACAACTTCAAGACTTATTCGCCGCCCCCCCCCAACACACACCACTTCTTAAAAGGAACTTGGGACTCCTCACTCACTTATAAATGCTTACACCCTGCATAACCGCCTGTGAACTCCTACTGCATGATCTGCTTATCTTGGCAGACATTTTATGTTAAATCCTCTTTTGCTTATGTTGTTATTGTTGTGGGTGCCACTCAACTACTCTGAGTCAACCACAAGCCCGTATCCAAGATTTGTTTTTATTTTGGGGGGCCTTTAAATAAGTCAGGGGGGTACCCCCACACCAATGTTCCCTCTAAGTTGTGGAGTCCTGTGAGCAAAATTTCTACTTTGTGAGCTATGGGCATTAAAGTTGTGAGCGAGCGATTTGGCTACTGCATAAGTCTGCTCTGGAGCCCATCCTTCCTGAGCGAAGACAAAAATCGCTGAGACAGAGGCTAAAAAACTGTGAGCTAGCTCACACTAACTCAGCTTAGAGGGAACACTGCCCCACACCCCCTCCCACACCTGAGAGTGCCCCATAGAAGTCCCCAATCTCTCATGCAAGCCGCCAATGGAGAGACATAGTGAAGTGTTGAGCCACCCCTCACCATACAGCCTGAAACGGAGCTCCAAATGCCATGAAGGGAAGGAAGAGCAGCGTCCCCCCCCCGACTACCCTCCCCAGAGCCCAACTGCACCCCATCTCCGTCCCCATCACCGCGCCAGCCTCATGCAGGGTAAGCCCTCCGGGGTCCTCAACCACCCGCCTGGCCTCACTTCATTGCCTCGCCTGCCACGCAGGGAGGGAGGAAGGGCGGTCATTGCCGGCTGGCCAGCCAGCCACCTACCCAGCCCAGCGAGCCTGCCTCGGGCCTCACCACGGCTGAGTGGCGGGCAGGGAGAGCCACTGCAGGCGTGCACGCTTCCCTTCTGCTGGCGCCCGCTCATTTTTCGGCTAGCACTCCTGCTGTTGATAGTGGGGAGGCTGTGAGCTACTCGGCGGCAGTGGCAAAAAGTCAGGAGGCCTGGGCAGCAAGTCAGGGGGGCCCAGCCCCAAGATGCCCAACTGTAGCGACAGGCCTGGCAAACTGACTGCTCTTTTTAAAAAGATCTGGTTTTAAAGGGCCCTCTGTTTGTAACCTCTTTCCTCCCCCGCCTCCCATCCACGTGGACTATCTCTTCCAAAAGAAGTGGCTGTGAATATAAAAGCATCAACCTAATGGATATATATTCTTATGAATCTGATGAAGGGCGCATCGACTCGCAAAAAGCTTATACTGGAATAAATGTCGTTAGTCTTTAAGGTGCCACGAGATTTTTTTTGCTTTATTTTGGGTAAAACACGAGGCTCTTTAAACCCTTAAATTGTGCCAGCAGAAGGCAGACTAGTTTCACAGCAGCCCTGGTGAGTTTAAGCAAATTATTTGTCATCTGGAGAATAACAAAGTTTCAGGAACAGACAGATTAAAAGTCTGTCTTGTAATATCTGTATATGTGACACTGAACTGCTTCCAAGCCATTTAACCTCGGCTACAAATGCTCAGAACCGGAAGCGAACCCTGCCAGCTTTAAGAAATTGGTTTTGCAGCATCTGGGGTATTATTATCATGAATAAGTGCATTAATTATTTTCACTTAAGAGAAGAGCATCTAGAGGAGACCATGTCTTTTGGAAATCAATTTTTAGGCCCAGGAATGCAGCATTCCAAGATAATGTAGCTTCACGAGATTTGTTTATTTTGTTAACGACATTTGTAAAGTAAACTGCACTTGACTTTGGTTAGATCACACCATTCATGTGTAAATAACTTCACCAGTTCCAAAGAGACTCTTCCAGAGTAATATATACATATAATTGTGAAAAGCTGGCTTTCTTCCTGTTGCTGTGTTTCTGCAGAGACATACAATGTTTGTCATAAACATTAACTACACATATCCCAATCAGCAGGATTTGTGGGCCAGCAAACCATTTGGTGTGATCCAAGATGGTACAGGAAGCTTATCCAGCAAAATACCTTTGAAAGATGAAGGAGGACCCCAAATATATTGTCATTCAGGTGCTTTAACAGCATTGCTACCATGGATAAAATCTACTGAAGTCTACTAAAAATGACTGATTTCTCAGAGGCATTACAGCATTCAAAGAATTAGGCTGACATTGGAGATAAAGAAAATACAGACTTCATCCAATTATGATGGCAGTGTGAAAAACCGTATTTTTGGCAATCTCCCTAAATATAAATAACATAAAAGGATGCAGTATTCCAATATCTCTAGAGGTTATTTTGTTAGGCAATTTAAGAAGACAAGATTTTAACTTGCAACCATTCAAATTTCACATCTTTCTAATTTCCAAATGAGACATTTTAAAGCAAAATTTAATGCAGATTTTTAACCCCCAAACTCAAATGCTTTAGACTCACTGGCATATCTTGAGGTTTGAATTCCTGTAAGCTTCCGAGATCGAATTTTAAGTTACCAGCTTTGAAATATTAATTATCATGGCATCTATGAACATCCTGGGAAGATTTTATTAAATCATTATTTGTCAGTTATCAACTACTACCTAATATTAGATACTACTGCAGGTTTGCCAATACCCATACGATATGCCAGGGTATTTTCACACTGTTTTCTGGAGGATTTCAGTTTCTTTGGAAGCTTATCAAGGGCTTCTCAACGGAAAGAACCCCTCAAAGACACAGGGGAGGTCAGATGTGTTCTCAGTTCACAAAAGGGATCAGCAGGTCTCAGGACTACAACACACCCAAGAACACGTTGCAGACTTCTCTGCAATAAGCAGAAACCCAGAGGTTCCTTGACCTATATTAATGTGCAAAGTGTTAACTGAAGGTACAACATCTGAAAATAATGATGATGCATCAACGTCACTGTCAAACACCACAGGCTACTACCAGGGGTCATTTCGTAGAAAAAGAGGTGCAGGAGCTCATTTGCATAACTCATTGGCATAAATTATTTGCATATGCCACACCCTCTGACATCACCGGAAGTGTGTCAGAAGGCAACGCCCACTGCTCAGGATCCACTCGACTGTTTTGGATTGCTAGCTATTGGGGGGGGGGGCGTGCAGATCTGTCCTCGCAGAGGAAGAAGAGCTTCTACCTCAATAAAACTTGGTCTTAAAGGTGCCACTGGACTGTTTTGGACCGGGGGGAGCTCTGCAACTTACCTGATTGCTTCTTGCTCTGACTGAGGGCTGCTGGGAGCAGGGGGTGGGGCTTGTTGCATGTGCCCGCCCCCTTGGCTCTTTACTGCCGGGGCTCTGCTCCTGCAGGAAATGACCCCTGGCTACTACACATCCAACATCAAATGCCACAAAAAATCAGGCACTGGAACCAAATATCGTTGAGTATAATAAAATACAGATATAAAATATTCAAAGAACACCCAAGCATTAAGTAGGAGATCATTCAACGTTTCACTTCAGGTCTAGTTAAGCATGAATGTGGACCTGGCATGTGGCCCATTAGAGTGGAATTGTCAATTCATTATATCAAATAAAACATGGAAGAAAAAAATATGGCACATAATATAACGAGCAGGCTTTTGTGGGGAAAGGAATGGCACTATCTAGTATTCAGGTAGAGAAACAGCAGCCATTCACGGATCTTTGTTCTGAGTTATATCTTAAAGAAATTTTAGACTGAAATTGCAAAAGTGAAACAAAAGGGTATGAAGATAGCTCCTGTATGAGGACACGGGCATCACAATTCAGTACCCATCAGATTTTAATGTTTACATATTTGTATTTGATGCATTTTATTTTCTGGCTTTGTTTTTGGATACTGAAAAGCTGGGAAATCACGAGTATGATTTTTAAAAAGGTAAAGGTTCCCTTGCTCGAAAGCCAGTCAAATCCAACTCTAGGGTTGCGGTGCTCATCTCCGTTTCAAAGCCGAAGAGCCAGCGCTGTCCGAAGACGTTTCCGTGGTCATGTGGCTGGCATGACTAAACACCAAGGCGCACGGAACGCTGTCACCTTCCCACCGAAGTGGTCCCTATTTATCTACTTGCAATTTCTCGCTTTCGAACTGCTAGGTTGGCAGGAGCTGGGACCAGAGACGGGAGCTCACTCCATCATGCGGCAACTCGGACTGCTGAACTACCGATCTTCCACAGCCTGCAGTTCAGCGTCTTAACCACTTGAGCCACCGCAGCTCCGAGTATGATTTCAGTAGTACTTTAAAAGCACACTGTGCAATTTAAATGTTATGTCTTTCAGTCTTTTCGATGGGGCAGGTTACATAGTTAAAGAAACAAACTGGCTAAGTGGTTTTCCAAAAGTGGAGAAAGAGATCTTGGCTCATAGTTGGGAGCCACTCACCAGCCATTGCTGAGGAATCTCTGGAAGAGGCATCTGCGGAGGGGCAGGCAAGATATTGGCCACCTCTTGTTTCTGGACATTTTCTTTTACTTCAAAACCTTGAAAAAAAAGCCCACACACACACACAATGAAACAAAGTAATTTAACCTAGAGAACACTCAACAGAAAAGGTGTTCTCCGTAGCATCAGCTCACAAGCCCCACCACCTTTGAATTTTTCAAAATTCTGAAAACAGAAATATTAAATAAATTACTTGCAATCAATACAAGGCTTCTGGTGCTCAGAAGCTGGCGAGAAAGGCTGGGATTTCGAAAAGCTTGTGCACCCTGGGTTGTGGGCCACAGCTTGTGGTGCCGCTCCAGAGCGTCTCTCAATCTTGGGTGGAAGCTTATCACCGGGTGGGGGTGCACCAATGAAAGAGAAAAGCCACTGTGTATAGTCGGGTGCTCTGGATCATGGCCAACGCTTTATCATCAGGGACTTAGAAACACTGAGATATGAGTAACAGACCCAGATTGCAATTTCCCCCTTTTGAAACTAATTTCCTCTACTTATTTTCTAAAGCTTAAGTCTAAAATAATATCAAATATTATGTCAAAGGAAGTTCTAAGCACTTGTATGTACCCAAGATGGTCAAGTACCCATACTTTGACTCCATACAAGAGATGGGGTATAACTTTACTCTTGTATAGTTTCAGAACAAGGTTTATAAGGCGACCTCCCTTGGAGTAGTAAAAGCTCAGGATAGATCCAACCAGTCTTAGTACTTACACTCTGACCACTGCAACATGGGCGAACCAGTTTAGAGTCTCTCTAAAAGTAATGCCAAGGTATTTAAATGAATTGTATTGTTTAATTGGATTTCCAAGAATACTCCAAGAGACCTTTGCCCTGTTCCTAAAAACCATGAGCTTAGTCTTAGCAAAATTAATAGTGAGAGCTTCTTCTTTACAATAGGTCCCTAGTTGGTACAGGAGCCTCTTCAGACCAATTTCCGTGAGAGAAATTAAGACCATGTCATCAGCATATAACAGAATTGAATTTTATTGATGGCCCAATGAAGGGGGAGTAAAGTGAGGCCCTAAAAGTTTCCCAACTATGTTGTTGATGTAAAGATTAAATAGTAAGGAGGCCAGCACGCAACCCTGCTTCACACCCTTCCAAATTGGAATCCTGACAGTTAGGGTTTCTTGTGCAGTCCCTTTAAACTAAAGGGACTGCACAAGAAACTAAACTAAACTAAACTAAACTAACCCTAACTGTCAGAATTCCAATTTGGAAGGGTGTGAAGCAGGGTGTGAAGCAGGAAGCAGGGGGTCCTTTAAACACCTGCTTTCTGTTGCCTGCGAAAGCCACAAAACAGCTGAGCGGCGGGGAGCAGCCTGTTTCCTACAGCCCAGCTGTTTCGTGTTTTCGTGTGCAGTCCCTTTAGTTTAAGCCCATACACACACACAATGAAACAAAGTTTCTGCTCTATCCATGAACCACCAAGAACTGCTTTAAAGGTTTGTGGAAATTCATGACAATGGACCTGTTACGAACTTCAGTTTGTGAACCACGAACAGGGCAAAATTTGTGATGAATTTTGCTTTGTGGTTCGGTGCAGGCCCATCCCTACTCTTGGGCAGTGCGCAGGCTTGAATGCAAAAGCCTCTGGCAAAAACGCTCCCCAATAATCTGAGTCTGGTGCTTGGGGGGTCAACAGTGGGAGGGCTTCTAATGTCCTGGCCCCACTGGTGGTCCTCCTGAGGGCACCTGGTATTTCTGGCCACTGTGTGACACAGAGTGTTTGACTGGATGGGCCTTTGGCCTGATCCAACATTGTCATGTCTTATGTTCTTATGTTCTTATGAGTCTTGTACCTGTGGAGATTCCTAACTCTAATAAAGACCACTACATGATACTACTTCTCATGTGCTCCACAGCAAAAGCAAGAAGACAATGATGCTTATTATTGCAAATCTATCCCCAAGAGTGATGACTTTACAGGCACAATGGCAGCTTCTCCTTAATGTGTGTTAGTTGCTAGGCATGCAAAGACGTCAGCGATGACCAGTGTTCCCTCTAAGCTGAGCTAGTGTGAGCTGGCTCACAGTTTTTTAGCCTCCGGCTCACACATTTTTGTCTTAGCTCAGGAAGGGGGGCTCCAGAGCAAACTAATTTACGCAGTAGCCAAACTGCCCGCTCACAACTTGAATGCCGGTCGCTCACAAATCAGCATTTTTGCTCACAAGACTCCACAGCTTAGAGGGAACATTGGCGATGACGATGGAAATTGGCGTGATGGCTGCAAATGTAACAGTGGGCTTGAAGGCTCCCGGAAGTAGCCATATTCTTTGAGGGAGGAGGCAACACAGGGACCTCTCTCCGAAATGAAAGTTTGTGGATTTCCTGCAGTCCCTTCTGTCCTTGCAAGCTGAGATGCAGGATATGATCTGAAGGCACCCAAATCCAGGGGTC